GTCCATGAGCTCTGGCAGACGTGAGATGCTTAATTCCAACTTTACACTGTCACTCCTGCAAACTCCAACTCACAGAGTAAAAGCACAGAAATTCAAACCCTGAGAAAAATGGGTGTATCATCTTAGGAAGAGAACTCTGGTTACCCTGAGTGCAAACACAAGCAATAAGTAAGGTTGGAAGTAAGCAGAGAAAATGTCTAATGAGGCCCGTGCCTGCGGTATCTGCTAGGGGCAGGAAGCCCTGATTAGCTGCACACTGGAGCATTGTGTGGGTTTGTATAGGATCTGACTTCCCAGGTCATGAAATCAGATCCTGAGTTATTTTAAAAATGAGCTGCTATTTCAAATTATTTTTCAACCTCATGTTTGATATGTCAAGTCACATTTATTTGGGTAAGCTATGTTTCACACGGACACCCGCAGTGCAACCATTGCTGCATTCCTGGTGCTGGGGGCAGGGATGGGTTCTGGCTGAGAGCAGGCACTGCCCTGGGGACAATTGCACTGCCAGGCATTGACCTCAGGTACCAACACAGCTTTGTTTGGATTTTGGAAAGAGAGATGCTTATATATGGCTGCATGTGTTTTTTCATTTAAAATCAACTTCACTAAACATAAGTAAAATTAAATGCCCTGCAGCAGTTTATCAGTCAGAAAAATAGATGAACCAAGAAAAAGATATGAACTTCCTAACATTTCCATGGGAACAAGCAGCAAGGGTATTTTGGACAAATAAATTAGGTGAATTCCTGCATGAGACACTCCCAGGGAATGCCCTGTCCTTGCTCTTCCAGTAAGTGCTAGATGGATTTCAGTTTAGTTTTCTCCTCTGATTTCAGGATAGCAAAAAGCACAAGCAGGCTTGCTCTTGGGCTGTTTACAGCCTGTGTCAAAACCAGACCTTTAAATTCCAGCTGTGGGTCTCCCTGGGACCCAAGGCAAAAGCAGCACTGCAAGTTCTGGCAAAACACTGTGTTTGCCAGATGGATGCTGCTTTTGGCACCAGTTTTAGCTTCTGGATACATAATATAATGCAGCAAGACATATATATACACATATATAATAAAGCAAGAACTCTGCGCAGAAGTAAAACCATGTTCTTCCAGACGTAGAGAGATGAAAATTTCCCCAGACACAACTACTAGAAGCAACTGTTGCCCGAATAGACTTTCCAAATATAAATTTCAATGCAAATTCTAGAACAAGTTCTATTTTTCAGCATATTTCTAGAGATTTCTCTGCCTAAAGACATCCCTCTGTCCAATTTGGACTGAACTGCTGCTACAGGCTCTCATACTGCTGTCTTCCTTGGATAACAGAGGAGGAAAGAGAAGATGGAAAAACTCAGAACAAGTTGTATCAAAGGTCCTAGCCAATAACTGTATAATGCAGAGCTTCTTTGCCTTCCATAGAGCTGCTGAATAAGGAAAATGCAATCCATGTGATGCAATCCATTTGATTCATGCTTTGACTTGAACGGCTTGGTTTGGCTTCATTTCGTAGAGATCATGGTAACAAAAGGAGAGGTTTAATGACGACTTCATCAATTGAGAATAAACACTTCTATTGTCTTTCAGAACCAGTAAACAGGTAACGTGTGAAGAAAATGTGCAGTGTGTTTGGAAACCTTTGACACAGGAGGCTGGGAGGACCCGGCTGTGATGCTGAGCCAGGCTGGGTGCTGCCAACTGCGCAGCAATGCCATTTATGGTCACTTAGTCATGAAATCTCTTTGACTAACAGTGCCTGTGGCTTCGGAAAAGGCAAACCTTTAACTACTGGGAGCCACAGCTGCTGGATCTTTAGTGTTACTGCTGGGTGCTGGGTTAGCGGATGAGCTGCCCTGTGGGGATGTGAGGATTAGCATCTGCACGCTGGCTTGAATGTGCTACAATTTGTTTTATGGCATTTGTTATGCATGGCTTTTGTTTTAATGCACAATGCTGTCCTGTGTTTGGATAAGGCTATTATGTGCCAAAAAATTATAAATATTTAAAATCTCCTGATAAATTTCTAAAGCTACCCGGGTGCTATAGCCCAATTATTCTTTTTCCAAGCCTTTGCCCTGACAACTCACATGTTTGACAGCCCCAGGGTACAAACCTTCAGTGTGCTGCTGCTTTGACAGAAACCTTTGGAAATGATGGAGGCATCCTGCTGGGTTTTCACCACACATTTCTGCTGAGATATGATGCATCTTCAAAGTCACTTGTGTGGGGTTAGTTGTAGTGTGGGGAAAAAAGTTATTGTTCCTTGTGTATTAGCAGTGCCACTGAAATCTGAGAGAGGCGATAACAAGCACGACCTGCTGGTGCAGAGAAAAGTCCTTTTACCTGCAAAGACTTGGCCTGAATGCTCAGCCATGGCCGATTCCTGCTCTAAGCAAAGTGTGCAGATGTTGGATTAACAGCTGAGAGTAATTCTAATCCTTGTCCTCTTAAAATCAAAGCAATGTGTTGCTGAACAATGTGTCAAGCAGATAGCATGTACAGTGTCCCAAATGGCTGGGATCTCTCATGTATGGCCCATGACTTGGAGGAATCCAGGAACATATCATCACATGAGACTGTGCTAAGTTGATTACCCTGAAACAGACCTGACTTCGTTAGTCACTCCATCATGCGCAGTTCCCTGGTGTCAGCGAGGGCCCACGCTGCCGCACCCCACACCCTTCTGCTTGTGCAAAACCAGCCTTCCACAGACTTGTCCTCAATGAAACAGCCAGTGTTAGAACTGCCATTTCCCTCTGCTGTTAGCACGCTCCAAAAAACAAATAGCAAGGGTCTTTTTAAATTCAGCCTTGCAGTGAATTACCACAGAGGAAGAGTATTTTTAAAATAGTGAAAAAAAACCATTGCTGTGTGTAACTGCTTAAAGAGTTGTACACAAGTTGTAACCAAGAAAGCAATGACTGTGTTCTTCTTTCCTTGTATCTGTGTCTAGCGGGTAAAGGAAGAATGGAATGGAAAGATCCTTGTCATACAGGACAAATAAAAAAAAAAGTATCCGCCCGAGAGCATAGCATTGAAATCTCCCTCTCTTTCTGCCTATATACATACATCCACACAAATATCTACCCATATAAATATGCATATAAGGTATTTCTGCAAGGCATACATTAGTTCATTTGTAATAATATACAGTACCAAGATGTTATTCCAGCAAGTACAGATTCATGGGTTAGCTTGTTTTTATTTCTCTGTCTCCTGATGAAACACAGGTTCACATTTGTTTAACTGTCTTCCAACTTCATTTCAAAGGAAATACAGTTTGTCAGGTCAAATGTGACCCCAAGAAGAATCTGATCCCAGAGCAGTACAGAGGGACTCTCTCATCAGTAGATGAGACCAAGCATTGATGCCCAGCCCTGCAGTTGCTGCTACAGCTGGATATCACATTTATGGCCAGGCAGATCCCAGACAGGACAGCTCTCCTAATCTCAGTCACCTGTGCAGGTGATGGAGTACTGTGCAGGCAGGGGCTGCCCCTCTTCACTTCCCATCAACCAGAAATCTTGGTCAGATTTCTGTAGCTGTGAGGGTCATCTGTGACTGGAAAGAAAGGAACGAAGCAAGAACTGTTCCTCAGAGCAGAAATTATTTTGCTTTTTTCATTCTCTTCCCATAAAGCAGTCATTGTTTTGCAATAATCATGAAAGCAGTCAGGATGCAAAAGGCTGAATTCTGATCAAAACCCTGTGATGTGCTGGGAAGGGCAGCTGTGACATGGGCTGCTGCATCCAGACCACCAGCACCCCACCAACCCTGCATGGTCCCAACAGCAACAGCCTCCATTGTGCCAGTGCCCCTGGCCTGAGTCTGACAGGCTGAGCTGGGCTTGCGTGTCTGTGCCAGAGCTTTGTTGAGCACTTCACATCTGGTTTTGTGCCTTCGTGCTTCTGGTAGGATGGATGGATGGATGGATGGATGGATGGATGGATGGATGGATGGATGGATGGATGGAGTGGTGGAAAACCACTCAAAGAAACCACTGTCCTTATGTGTGCAGAGCATGTCATTGCACAGTATATCATTAGGATGAAATTTTTTTTTGCTGGGTTTATGGAAAAAATTACTTTTATTGAAAATTTTAGCGAAATATGTAAGTTAAAAATTGAGGTCCTAGTGCTAATTCTGTCTTTTTCCTGTGTAATTCCTATTCACTGCCTAACAATGGCTGAAGCTTCAACTTGCAGCATGGCACGGGCACGAAATGATACTGAAGAGTATGCATTACTAGGTGTGGCAGTGAAAAGGAAAGGAAATTAAAATATTATAAGCAATCAGCTAATCCGGATGTGGAATGGTTGCTAAGGAGTCCCAGCCCAGGCCAAAGTCAATAAGCAATTAGTATCTATTAAAAGATGAAGTATAGGATGATGGGAGAAAGGTCCTTGAGAAAAGGCTCAGCTCCATATTTCCAGGCTGCTCTCCCCTGGGCTGGACAAGCCTGCGCTGACAGCAGAGCTGCTCACAGAGGCACTGCCTACCCTGGCATCTCCATGCCATGTCAATGGTTTTGCGCTGCAAATAAAAGTTCTCACTTAATGTCAGTTTTTATTTGAATAATAGAAGCAACTTCCTGCTTCTTGGCTCAGTAATTTGAGGAAAGGGCAGTGGCTGCTGTGCCATGAGATACACTTCAACATTTCAGTATGCTAAATCTCATCTCTGATTTCTTTGATAGTTTTAAAACAGGAGGCAATGCTGATTAGGGAACAATGGAAGTTTAGACATAACTCCCACATTACCTCACCTTTGTATTTGCTTCATTCTTTATTGTAAAAAATGCATCTAATTTAAATTATTCTGGGGGTAGGGTCTATTAATTCACTGGAGAGAAACCATGGTGTGATGGTTTAGTGGAGGCATTAGAATAACACCCTTGAAAGAAAATAATTTGACATCTGCATTCTGATTTTCTAGCTGAGAACGACTATAATAATTTAATTAAATAAGACTTTATTGACTGTATTTTAATGGATTTGTTTTCTCTGACAGACATCTGCACCTTTCAGAGTGGAAACCTTGATGTAAATAGGTAGACAGGCACATACTTCGCTTGGATCAGTGGAGCAGCTCCTGGTAGCAAAGCCAAGACTGTAAGTGCGTGCTGGGTTAGCGGGTGGGCACGGGTTTCCCTCGGGATAGGGACACACAGGGACACCTCCCCGCAGCTTCCAGGGACCCAGTAAGTGTCATGAGATGTCTCGGTGACCTCCAAAAATTAAGTTTGCAGCAAGGCAGCTGGAGTAGTTCTATTGACTCTGCTGTCATCAAATGAGTCAGAGGCAAGTCACAGTCTCCTATGTCAGCAGGGAGTGGCCCGCCAGGAAATCAGTCACAAAAGTGGGGGAAAAAGCAAGGACCCTCCTCAAGAATTCGAACCGTAATTGACTGCTTTTAGAGGTTTCTATTATTTTCAAATGGCCGATAAAATCGTGTGTGTCGGCACAGAGGTTGCCGTCCCGTTGCCACATCGCACCCCGTGGGAGGACCCTCAGCCTCTCCTGGCGCGGGCAGAACCGAACCCCCCCAGCCCGGAGCCCCGGCTCTGCCGGCCGCCCTGCACAGCTCTGCAGGCCCGGCCAGAGGTGTCACCCACCCCTGGCTGCACCCACCCGCGGCCGTCACACGGCGGGCGGCCTGACTGAGCGCGGCTGTGCTGGGGGTGTGCGGGTGGGTGGGGGGCTGCGCTCCCGTTGTACTGCGGGTTTCATTTGTCTGTGGGGCGAGGGCGCTGCACCCGCAGAGGGCACTAGCGCCAGGCCAGCTGCGCTCCTGCCCGTGCCTGGGGGCCGCGCCCGGCACCTCGGCCAGGTGAGTGTCGGCCCAGGGTGGTCCCGGTCCATCAAGGGCTCGACCAGGCCAGGCCAAGCCAAACCAAGCCAGGACAGGCGAGGAGAGCAGAACCGAGCCGAGCCGAGCCGCGCCCATCCGATCCCATCCCATTCCCAGGCCGGCCCCCGCGGGCCGGTGCGGCGGGGCGCGGGGTTGATGGGGCGGAGGGCGTGCCGCTCCCCGTGGATAAAGGCCGGGCGGCGGCGCGGGGCCGCGCAGAACGGTTGGGTTGGGTAGCGGGGGAGGCGGTAGCGGCGGCAGTGAGAGCAGGAAAAGGAGAGGGGCCTCTGCTGAGCGCGGCGCTCTTCACTCTCTCCTTCCCTCCTTTCCCTCCCTCCCCGCAGGCAGCCGGGCGGGGCGCGGGCGGAGCGCAGCGGATCGAGGAGGCGGAGCGGGGCCGGCCATGAGCACGCAGGCGCGGGGTCAGGGCGCGCGGAGAGCGGCCGATCCTGACGGCGAGATGCCCGCCACCGAGAAGGACCTGGCGGAGGACGCGCCTTGGAAGCGGATCCAGCAGAACACCTTCACCCGCTGGTGTAACGAGCACCTGCGCTGCGTCAACAAGCGCATCGGCAACCTGCAGCATGACCTGAGCGACGGGCTGCGGCTGATCGCGCTGCTGGAGGTGCTCAGCCAGAAGCGCATGTACCGCAAGTACCACCAGCGGCCCACATTCCGCCAGATGCAGCTGGAGAACGTCTCGGTGGCCCTCGAGTTCCTGGAGCGGGAGAGCATCAAGCTGGTCTCCATCGGTGAGTGCGTCTCCGGCGGGCCGTTTTGTTGTTTTCTCGTTTAATTGTGTGTTTTCCTGCGCTGGACCTTTGCCTGGCGGAGCTATGGCGGGGCTCAGGGCAGTGGGGGCTGCGGGCTTGGAAGCTGAGGGGCTGCTGCTGCTTCTGTTTTTAAAGAGCTGGGTGTGCCGTGGGGCTGCCCCACAGCCCGGCTGTCGGGGCTGGCAGCGAGCTCCTGTCCTCAGCGTGCCTCATGATCACTGCTTCATAGGTGAAGCTTTGCTTTCAGGTCTTTCCTGAAGAAACCTAGTGCCGGAGCGAGTTCTCTCCCTGTGCAGGCAGTTCCTCAGGCACTGACCCCTCCCGCAGCCCGGCAGGGTGTGCGGCGGGACGATGCTTCTCTAGCTGGGCGTACCTGGGCTCCGGCACCGTGCTGGAGCCAGGCTCTCACGGCTGTGTAGAAATAGCTGCAGCCGTAGGTAGGATAGGAGAGTGGGGAGACTTTGCTCACCACAGCCCAGTAGATGATGCCAGTGTTCAGATTAGCACTGATGCCTAAGCACAGTTGCAACTTTTGAGCAGGATTGCGCTTTCTCAATCTTTCTGCTGCGATAGCTTAGGGCAGGAAATGTCCAAGGAACCCTGCTAAGCCCAGGCAGTGGGTGCTTAGAGCTGGCATGAGATTTGCCTGCCTGTGCCGTACTGGGCGTGGAGTTGGTTGATAGCTGGTAGTTTGGAGACGGAGGCTGCTGGCATGCACGTCGGATTGCGGATGATCCCTCAGGAATGCATTCGGTGACCGTTTGGGGAATAGCTCAGGTGTGGCCATAACGTAGTCTGTAAAGCAGCAATTTGAATGCCTGAGAGATCTCTGGGAAGGAATGTGAATGCCTTTTCTAGCTCTTTGCCAGATAACTATAACTACTGCTTCCTGATGATTCTGGCCTCGATGAATTGCACAGCTGAATTTGTAGAGTGTAGCTCTCCTCAGTTGTCTAAAATGCTTGGCCAAGGTAAAAGCTGTTTCTCTTCAAAGGCCTTAGCTACAATAGCAAGAAAATAGAAACTTCTCCAGTTTGGGGGAGACCTGGCCCTCTCTGGAAACCTGTAGCTGGGTACCCTCTTCTTCCCCTCTGCTAGTGTGTAAAAGCAGCTTTGGACAAGAAGTGAGGACTGTTGGTCCCAACTGGCTGATTGTCCTCCCTGGGCAGAACAGCTAACTTGCAGCTGGGAATTAAACTGGTGCTAATTATTTACTTAGAGATGGAGTCCCTTTGCACTCAGTGGGGTTCGAATTGCAGCTTCTGATTCCTGGGCTGAGCTTTTGCTAACATCAGAGCTCACCTTTCTGTGGCAGGTTGTTGTGTTGACTAGCTCCAACACCAGGCCAGCATTCCCCTCCTATTGTATTGTTTTCCCTAGAAAAATGTTGTTGCTCCAGCTGCCTTCCTCTTTGTCTGTGGAGCTTCCCGAGGGTGACGGGCTTGGGAGATCAAGGCTGCTCCAGTCAGGTCTGGCTCTCAGTGACTTCCGTTCTAGAAATGCTGCTGCAGCAGCACAGCTCCTTTACATGGTTAGGCTGAACTGCAGGGTGTCTGTAATCGTTTAAGACATGTCTATTTGTTTTACAGCTTACTTGCTTTGTGTTGGTTATTAAAAAACCAAATAAAATTTAAAAAACCCAAACCATGAGAGAACTTGAAGCTTCGAGAGAATGGAATGACTACGACTGCTAATGCTTTTGCCATATCCAAGCCTGTGCATGAAGGAGTGTACAGCTCCATCAGTGCTCTGCCACCTGAGCTGGAGCCAAGGAGTAGCACAGGAGCCCTACTGTACAGTCCTGGATAAACTGAGCCTGTCCTGAAAAAACATTCTGAATGGCCTTTCCAAAAAAGACATTCTGACTGAGCCTTGCAGTGCTTTGCTGGGTTGAAGGGCTGAAGCCCTTGGCATCTCTCCTCCAGATGCAGTGTCCACTGGGATCACTGCCTACCTGTCCCTGGTGTGTTTTTCCCTGCAGGTTCTGAAGAACTTGAGGCTTTCTTTTTTTCCCCTACTGTTTAGTCTCTTTTGTGTTGTTGAACAAAACCAGGGCTATTGAAGACCCTGGAGCTGAAGTGAAAAAAAAAAAAACAACTAGTAAAGGCTCTAGGTGGAGAACTTTTATGACCAGGTTGGTCTTTAGGGCCTGGGGTGTTTAGGGCCAACTCTGAGCCAAATCAACTGGGGAAACCTGACAGCTGTGCCTGCTGGATTTCTGGCATTAATAATGCCATCAGACCTCTGCTAAGTGGATGCAGTGCCTGTTCCAGTTATTATTTAACTTCCAGGAACATTTTGGAAGCCATGTGTTATGGCTCAGCTACTGCTGCTGTACTACAACCACATTTAAAACCTTTTCAGTAGCAAGGTTTTGGCATTCAGTGTTTGTCTATTTAAAATAAGTTTGCCTATGCACAGTGTTTGACCACAACCCTTTCTGGATGGACATTAGAAGCCCTACCTCTCCTGCTGCTTTTACCCTTGGTTTAGTCTTTGCTCAGAGTCTTTTGCTAGTTTCAGAAAGCTTTTCTTCTAGGCATGAAGTGTCTCCACTTCAATGCAAAATTGACTGCATGTATGATCAACTGTAAAAAAGACCATGAAGCACATAGGTGCTTTGTGCCATCCAGCAAAGATGGGAGTGAATGCTCTGAAAAAGCTGCTGTGGGAGGAGGTGACTTCACAGAGCCTTCTTCTCAAAGTGAGGTGGCTGCTGTGCTGCTCAAGTGTTAACAAGTGTTAAGTCTAGCCTTTTTCAGTGTCTGCTAGACTGAGATAATTGCAAATTCCTGGGTGCTGAGTGGCATGCTGCATGACAGGCATTGGGAGTAGGATGCCAGGAATGTAGAGCACAAGGGCTTTCTCTTGGTGAAGGGGCAGATCAACTTTACAGATTGCTTAGCAGAGAAGGGAGGGGAGTTGAAGCTAATTTGGCATTTAGCTTGTCCCTAGAAACTCCTGGTAACAGGAGTCAACTCATATAGCTTAAGAGCAGAGGAGTTGGATGCCTGAAGCCTGGCAAATGGTTTTGGGGTGAGACCTGCCAAGATGCACCCAGGCTTGCAGCCAGCAGGTCCTAGGTGCAAACTCTGCTGCTCAGTACCTGTTTGCAGTGTTCTCATGGCCACTGCTCATCCAGCAGCCTTGTGTCACTGGTAGAGGGAGGAGGGGTGCCAAGCTGCCTTGTTGAGTAAAACTGCTGTCTTGGGCTGCTACAGTCAGATTGAGTAAACTGAAAAATGTGGTTTCTCTGCCAGGTTGCAATTTCACCAGGTAAGTGAGCTGACCTGGCTTGCCTCAAAATGGCAGGATGTGAAGTGGCAATGAAAGTCAGTGGATGGGCAGTGGCATGTCTGTGCCATGGCAGTAGGATCCACTGCTGGCCATGGCTACTGTTGTGTGATTTGTTTACAGATTTGTCTCTGTGGTGATCCTGTGTCCTCCTGCAGTGCCTGCAGGGAGTTCAGCTATGCCAGGCAGGAGATGGGTGAGGAGAGGATGGGGTTATAATCATGGTCAGTTGGTACTTGCCTCCTGGTGAGTTTGGTGGTGACATATCCCAGCTGCAGGAGTACTGACCAAACGTAATCTGTGCATTGGGTAGGGTTCTGGCTAATGACCAAGTACTTGATGCACACACTGTGGTCTGTAGTGTGCTTAAGATCAAAGACCCGTGAGTCTGAGGACCTTATAGTAATCTCATTTTAGGAAAACAGCTGAAAACCTACTTTCTTCCCATGCTGCTGGTGCATTAAAGAGTGACAAAACAAACTGTACATTTCTAGAGGGAAAACTAGTCTCTTGTAAAACAGTAAATGTGTTGTCCTGTAATGCTTAGAGCTAGGTCCTTGAAAACTGAAAAAAGAAAATGTGTTTTCAGCCTGTGTACACTTAAGGGCTCTTTTATCTCACTCAATGTTCTATTAACACATCCTAAAGAGTTAGTCAAAATACGCTTGCATTTTGTCTGCCACTTATCTGGGACTTCCCTGGATGCTGCTTTCTGGAAAATATCCAGTGTGTCTTGGAAGCAGATTTCTGCTTCTTGGAAATATGACACTCCTTCCCCTTGAAAATAATTTTTGATAGATGTGCAGTGGACCTCTTTGCTGGAGGTGGCTTCAGCTTTGGAAGGTACTTGGTCTCCTCAGGACCTTCTGTTTCAGTGGCTGGACTGCTGGTGTAATGAAAAAGTGCCTTTGCCTGAACAATGAGTTCCAAGTTACAGGAGACTTTAAGGTAGCTTACACAGACTGTTCTTGCATTCTTTTACATATGAGCGGAAACTTGTAAAGTGATCAAACTTCAGTAAAATTACTTAGGGCCAGCTAGACTAATGTGCTAAACAGCTTTTTCATTTAAGGCACTGAAGGCTGTGCCAGCTATTCAAGATGGACTGAACTTAACTGCTCCATATTCTAATGCCACGTCCTGTATTGACTTACATGAGGATGTTTAAATCTAAGTGGGTTAGGATAACTCTTTTCTAGCCTACAACTGTAACCTAAGAATGTGGTTTGCCTTGTGTGTGGTCATGCTGCGATGTTGCCAGCATTGTTCTGTGTCTGCTCCAAGCAATGGGAAGTAAAACAATGGTCTCTGAATCCCCCAGGCTGCAGAAGAATTCTGTTTTCTCTCTGCTGCACAGAAAAAGACTTTGATGAGCAGCTAGTTTGGGCCCTGAACAACAGTCTGCTAAGTTTAGACCACTAATCCACGTTTAGCAAGCACACCAGAGCAAAAGTGTTTTGCTGGTTATGTTGGAGTGAACAAACCTCTGCTGTACTGTGGTGCTTACCAGGTCCCTGCCACCAGCACCAAGTGGCCCTGTCTTCCTTGATTGCCTGGCATGACAGAGAGCTCATGAATATGTCACCTGAGTCATAAGTCATTACAGTAAAAGAGACACAGAGCTCAGTGAATTGGTGGTTGGCTCTGTCTGGTGTGGTACCAGTGTGCCTGAAGAGCCTGTCACA